TCTCCTCCTTTGACCACCTTCTTCATTAGCTTTTCGAAGTGTTATTAATTCAGGGTAGGGATAAAGTTGTTGGATCTACATAACCTAATCACTGTCTGGCCTTCTAGATCCCTTTCACAGATGTGAAAATAAGGCTCAAAGAACAACAACCAGTTCGCATTTTGGAACTCGAAAAAGGCAAGTAACTTCTTTACCTGGAAAAGTCTGCTTGATTTCCAGAAGTTAATTTTGAGTCGAAACTGTAGTATTGCTAAGCGTAAAAATTTGTGGTCCTTCAACCTAACCAAAACATTAAGTAAACTTCTAAAGTAAAAATCTAAATGGAAAAACAAAACAAACAAACAAACAAAAAGCCATAAGACAAACTCCAAGCCATTTGTCTGGCAATATTCACCCTTTTTTCTCTTTAGTTTTACGACATTTCCCTGTAAAACATAGTATATTTGCACACTCCCGAGAAATAAGGAAATACTTGAAGTTATTTGGAAAAACAATAATGTAAGATGCTCTTTTGCAGCTCCTTTGGGCTATATCAAGTAAGACGTATTACACAGAAACTTAAACATGTTGTGGATATTAAAATCACAGCATTAAATGCACACCCATATATGAGCTATGTGTATCATGTTTTCCACCTCTTAATTCACTATTTTTTGGGGATAAGTATTTTCAACAGCCCACCGATACACTGCAGTTGAACCAGATTTCCAGGTACTTCAAACATTTGAGACACACACTGTGCAAGCCAGCAATCGCTAGGCATCGGAATGAGTTTGAATGTGAATATTTTGTTTAATAAGTATTTCAAATGTCTAGGAAAAGTTTTCATGACTCCAAATCCTGACCACAAATATTCTTCCTTCTTTCTTTCTTTAAGATACTATAAGTATCTTAAGTAAGTTCTTTAAGATACTAATGAGAACTCCTGCTTGTTAAGAAGAAAAGGTGGAAGAAAACTAAAGTCATGAAGCTGAACTCAAACTGCAATATCTGGAAAAGCAGAGCAAACCACAGAAAGAAGACGTTAATCTAAAGTACTTCCCCTGTCAATGCGTACATTAACATTTCACTTTTAAAAGCTGAATTAAAGAGGTTACATGATTGATAAAATAACTTCAGAAACCATATTTAAGCCTAGCATGCTAAAACCAGCACAAAGGACTACTTTTGCACAATTCACCGTCTAATAAAGGTTTAACCAAATACTTTGACTCTCCAATAATTTTCTTAACAAAGTAAAGTGGTGCTCCCTGGTCCTCAATAACTGGATGAAGTATTTATATGTTTTCTATTAAGCAAAAGATTCACGTGCACCAGTAGCTAGCTAATACAGGCAAATGCCTGATTTATGCAGTTTGGCCACAGAACGTATCCAGCTGACTATGTGCCATATATAAGAATATATATATATGTATACACACATATAAGTGACATAGCTGTCCAGATATGCCCAATCTGACAGATAAGTTATTTAAAAAGCTATTTAATTTGGACAAATTTTTGGTGAAGACAAAATTCAAATACGTCAATGAAGACAACTAAACTTGAATAAACACAGGCTTACATAATACGGCGTGTTTTTCCACAGCTACTAGCATAATATGCCCTTAATATGTTCACTCGCTTTCACAAAGGACAAAATAAATCCCCATCAATAAAGGATTAAAAATGGCGCAGGTCAATTCCTGTTAACTTTAGCAAATATCAATCAACACTTTGCCAAAAATAATAAAAAAAGTCTTTCCAATACACTGTGCCTGCTTCCGTTTCAGTTTTAAAGCCCTTCTGCAGATTCCATCCTGGAATATGGTACTAAGATCCTGTCTAAAGTAGAAGTCAGATGAAAATTTATCTCTGTTTTTTTTTATGACTTCAAGGAAGAAACTATAATAGACGCAAACCTTATTCATGTTCATTAACTTCTTAAAAAAGCCAGGCTTATATCTCATGGTTTATATAATGTGATTGCATCGGTCTCTCAAGCGCTTTTTTTGTAAAACTGTACACTAACATGGTCTTTTAACAGAATCAATGAAAGGCATCATAAAAAATTTAAAACAAATCAAGAAATCTTTGTTTGTTTTGTAGATCTATCACATTGAGCTAGCATTACTAAACCAAAAAAGAATAAATTTTAATAAAAGTATGTAAAAGTATCCACAGATACTTAAAGGAACATTAAGAAGCTGTAAAGAGAAAACTAGTGAAGTAGTTGCTCTGCTTACATTTTATAGACCACTATGTAATTAAAATACCAGCCAAACAAAACCCATAATCCGAGCCTAAATGCTAAACTCATCCTCACTCTCACTCAAGTACTTGGAATTTCAGTCATCACTTCTAACTGGACTGGATTTTACCCACAAGAAATCAGTATTTTCAAATCCACGTATTTTAAAGGAAGTTTTTCATGACTAAGTGGACATTAGTTAATTTGTATGCAGTTTAAGCATGCCTATCCAACTATACCCAATATGTCATAAATATATTTAAATTAGTGTCTCACAAGTGCTGGCCATATTGTGCCATCCGGGAAGTTTTTGCATTTTATCAAAAATGTCTATTTAAAGACTCAGGATACAGTGCACTCATTTTACCACATTTTGCATCCATTTTAGCTGAAATGCATCCTCAACCAAAATACATTCATTTTTGAGAGAAAGATTACATGACTAATATCATCCAGAAAATGCAAGGTCTGTAATGCAATAAGGACCATATGTCTTTAATGTCTTTCTTTAGCATATTGTTTAAAATCCTAAAATTAGCTTTTTTTTTCTTTCCAAAACGATGTAACATTTGTCATGTTTTTGAATATGCCGAAGTTTATCCAGAGGCAATACCTAAGCACTTCCTAAGTCAGCAGTTTTTCCTTTTAAACTATTACTATCCACATATTTATTTTTATATGTGTACTTATTTAAAAATACTAAATGGGTCAGAAAGCATTTCAGCTGGGAAAATAATTTTACTTTCAGTTATCACAGAGTTAAACTGGAGCATGATCAAGCCCTGCAGCGCATTTTTTTTCCATCTCTTTCTCACACATCTTCCTCGAAAGAAACATCATATTATACCACCACCACCAAAATTATGTAGTCAAACTACAGATTTTATAAACATTAAGCCTATGAATTGGGCAGAGAGGAAAGCAGAAGGAAATAGGTGAAAATGATAGATAAATTGTACCTGCTTCTAAAGCAGCACTAGATTTTTCTGTTCCTTTTTTTAAGCGTGTACCGTTTATTGTTTTAAGCAAGACTAATATTTGAAAGCATTTCAAATAATGTGATAGTATTATTCAGAAATCTTACTAACTTCAAAAAAACAAAGTTAATTTTAAAGCAAAATTGATTTTGCATCCAGACCTAAAATGAAATATTACTTACTTCAGAGCATACAAGGTATCTCTCTATCAAAGAGGAAAAAGTTTTTTTCATTTTATAAATATCAAAAAGTCAAATTTGCATATAGTCAACTTCTGTGAAGAATAAGTTTTGTAAAAAGAATAAGTTAAATAGTAATAGCGCCAGCCCTACTGAAAATCTACTTTAATTTTCTTTCATCCCAGCACTCAAAAAACAGATGCTCTGCACAAAATTACAAAGGATATATGTCAGTCAGTATTTGTTTTATAAAGGTTTAATAAATAATAAGGGTTAAAATTTAAGAAAAAAGCAAAAAAAGAATCAACAAATGTCTCAGATTTCAAAAACATGTCGTATAGGCCATTTTTTTTTCACGACAAGCTCAACATCCATTTCTAAAAGGAGTTTCTCATTTTTTACTAACTTGCATATACCACTTGAACAATTATGCAGTATGTGGGTGTACCTTACAGTCGTTTTCTTAACATCTGCATTCTGTGTTAAATTCTAACTGTACAAGATGTCTGATATTTTTTCTTTATCTGGAACCTTCAAAGAGGTAGGTTTACCAGAGGCAAAACCACACACCAGAGAATATGAGTCATATAATAAAGAAACACCTCTTCCCTTTCTCCCCCTTCCACCCTGAAGCGATAACAACCTAAAGACACTCTATTGTAAATGGCTTCTTTGGTAATATTGATAACAGGAGCAACTCATAAGCATTTAGCCAATGAATGATTTTTTTTTAAATTGCTTATTGTATCCGTAACATGTTGCTCTTGGTATCATTTTAAGGCCAACTAAAAATTATGTTACAACAGAAATTGAATTCTTAGTAAGAATCAGAATGTCTGTGTGCTTGCTTTCATGTTAAGCATAAAAAACGAAACATACTACGCATGTTTCTATAAATGATAGCACTAGAATGTCAAAATAATCAAATGGAGGATGCCTATGCAAGTTAATGCAAATAACACCTCTAAGCTGACCACAAAACAGTAACCTCAATACAGAAATCATTAGTTTTCTCATGATTCTGTATCAAAAGATGGCAACGTTCACATTCGACAAAATACTGCTCATGCCAACTGCACAAGAGAACCACAACGAAGAGCTGAGGAAGCAAAGGCACCTTACGTGCCCATGGGTCACCCGAGTTTCCCCTGTGAAATGCACTGAGCACCGGAGTTGCTCTACCTGTTTGCTTCCTTTAATGCCCCTGTATATAGGCAGCCTACAACTCCTTAGACTGACATCCTGCATCTAATTACACGTAGGAAAAACAGCCTTCAAACAAAGTCTTATCTGAAGTGTCAACATGTATAATCACATCAGAATTTTTAAAGAGATGGACTAAATAATAGAAGAAAAATAGCATCCAACTTCAGCATCAGCAAATAAATTAGTAAAACATAAACATCAGCAAATAAATTATTTACAACAAAACTCAGCAACACTACAACAGGTGCAACCACCGTCTTGCAAGAAAGTTAACCTTGTGGCAATGCTGGTACAAAGCTCTTCTCAAGAGCATCTTCCAAAAGGCAGGAAAAAAATCATTTCACTGATTGAAGTGAGAGCTTTGCATCTGCCCCCGAAACAGAGTAACATAATGGTTTCTATTCTTACCTGTGTATAGTCGAAGTCAGAGAGAGGAGCTATACTCTTGATGTAGTCCATTCGAAATTGGTTTTCTGGATTGGCCAATGGAACTGGGGGTATTAAAGTGCTCATAGCTGAAACTATAGTCTAGAATTGGATAAAAGAAAGACAAGCGCATTAATCTGGATAAATCTAAGATACAGAATCAACAGAAGATAATCCCATTTGATCAGCAATAACGGGATTTTCTCTACACAATCTTAGCACAATCCTTATCGTTTCCTGTACGCCCAAGGATTTAAGAACAGTATAAAGAATGCTCTTACCACAATCGCATCTTTAACGTTTTTCCGAATATCCAGTATTTTCTGTTTCTTTTCTCTGCATTAAAACAGAAATATTAACACTTTGATTTTTTTCTTTCAAAGCAGTGGGATGCTACAGCAGTTCAAAGTCAGTAATAATATATATTTTTTTGGTTTTTACACTGACTGCTTATTCATCTGCTTTCCAATCACTAAGAAATACTAACAGAAACGAACATTGAGATAAATACATTTTTTCCCTTATCCCTCCTTTCATGTACTGTGAAGAGCAATACACATTTGCCCTTAAAATACTGTTAAATAGCCACATCTGCAAAGCCTTCCCTGAGAGAACTTGAAGCCATTCTCTCATTTCTGCAGCATGCTGTGGACATGCACGAAACTGCTAATATACAGCTGAAAGGCAACAGATGTCTAAAATTAACACTATAGATTAATAATAAATTTAGGCAAAGAGTTCTTCAGAGAGAAATGATGCAGCCCCGGAATTGCGAATGATTTCTAACAAACATTCAAAATTAGTTTCAGTTTTACCCCAATACCGGAAAAAGAGCAGCCACTGTCATCCTGATTGTGACTTGACATGTATTTTTGGTTGTGTTACAGGCAGATGCAATATTTAGTTATTTGCTTCTATGTAAAAAGTAGTCGCCATGTTGTTGCTACAGAGGGGCCTGTCAAGCGCTGCAGTAGCAACAGTGTAAAAATACTGTAAAGGGGCCAGGAGGAGAAAACGCAAATATACAATAGCAGTAATTTCCTTATTCCCTCTGCCCTTCTGCCCTCCCTCCCCCCAAAGGCAGTGTCAAGCCACCGAAACGCAGCGGGGACGAAGAGCAGAGCTTCCCCGGCGTGTCGTGTGCTAACCTGTTTCAGGCAGTTAATGAAAAATAAGTCACAAAGTGACAATAATTCTTACTCTGAATTAAATCCATTGACATGCAGGATTCGCATTTGTTTCACAATAGTGCTTTTTCCTGACTCACCGGCCCCTAAAAGAGAAAGAAGGAAAGGCAGGACATTGTGATACATGGTGCGGGGCTTCCTATTTTTCCTTTTTTTCCTTTTATTTTGGACGCGGCACGACAGCATCTCCCACCTCCGGCAGCATTTCCCTGCGTGTGCATCCATGTGGCTCCCGCGCCGAGCCCGGCCGGGGACGCTTCCCATGTTGCTCAACAGGGCAGCCTGCATTTTCCGTGTCGCACACGCACGCAGCGCACACACACATCCACCTTCTCCATGACACCCGCTCGCCGCGGGCGGCCCGGGCAAATGCCCCCTCGCCTCCCCGCCGCCTCGGCCCCCCGCTCGCTTCCTTACCCAGCAGCAGCAAGCGATGTGTCGCTTTATAAGCCAGCCTCTCTTTCTGCAACTGCTTCTCTATTTTTTTGTTGGCTTCTCGCTGCGCTTTCTCATCGATACGCTGATCCTCCGTTTTGCTGTTGCCCAAACACCCCATAGCTGCTGCTTAGGATGGATGTCAAATGGTCGTCTTTGTATATGTGGTATTTACAAGGGGGAGGGGAGGGGGGTGAGTCTGTATATCCCGGTAGCCCTGCGACGCTTTCTCTTCTCGTCTTCCCCCCGGTTGCTCAAATAAAAATGGTCTCTAGCCGCCTTCTGATCAAAACGGAGTTTGTTTGTTTTTTTTTTTCCCCCCCAAAGAGATGCGAGGAGCAGCCGGCGAGGTAATCGTTCCCAGGCAGGGAGGGGGTGGGGGGAAAAAGCTGTACAAAAATGTCTAACATGCAACGGGGAGCGCGAGCGAAGGGCTCCTCCTGGAAACCAGCCTAACGCTGCTCTCCTCTCTCCCTCCCCACCGCACACACAATCCCTATATTTCTCTGTAAAGGTCTATTTTTGTCTTTCTAACTCAGCACTGCCTCTCTCTGCGAGACCAGGAAACAGTCAAACTACGAAGCCCTACAGCGCTGGCGCCCGCAGAAAGGAGGAAGGTAAAAGCTGGATCCACCTGGGCCCTCCGGGAGCGCCGCGAGGCCGGGCCCGCGCGCCGGCTCGGCCCCCAACGCGCCCGGGGTGCAGCTGCCCCAGCTGAGGGGGCACCAGCCCCACACACGCCCCGGCATGGCAGCTGCTGCAAAAACCTGGAGCCGGCTTTGCCTTGTGCCGCTTGGTGCTTTGGCCCCCAGATCCCAGGGACGCAGGTCATCCCAGTGGGAAATGGTGCTGGTGGCCCTCGGCCTTGCCCCAAAGAGGGGAATTCTGCCCCGCGAGTGCCGGCAGAGTGTTTGGGCCAGAAACCCCGAACCGCCACCAACACGGCACCCGTGGCCATCACCGTGCCTGCTCCATGGAGAGGAGCGGGAACGTCCCGGTCCCACCAGGACGGGCACGTCAGCCTCAGCCTGCCCAGGTTCCACCAACCATGCCGCCCAGCAGCAGAAATACATCGAAATACAGACACATCCTCCTACACACACACACACACACGCTATACGGCATGCTACATACATGCTATATGTACAACACACACGTGTGAACACACACACCATGATAATACACACGCACACAGGTGCACGTGAGCTTTTTCCACAGATTGTCACAGCAGTATATAGGCAGGGGATTTTCCCTTGCATTTTTCTTTCGAGTATTCCAAACTCCATCAGCTGACCAGGACAATGAAGCCCTTTAGCCTGCAGGATTATTTAATCCGAACATGATAAAGTAGATGCTGAGAGTCCCCACGAAAAAAATCTTTAGAAACAAGAAGACATGCTTCTTGTTTCATTTTCCTGCCTTTCTAGGTCTCAAAACAAAAGAGCAAACTAGACAAAATTATAGATATTTCTCTTTGATGCAAGTCTTCTCTCACCTTGCAAATTGGTAGCTCAGTGCCAGTGCAAGAACAATAATATGGCACCTGGATTTTTCTAAAATCTTTGCTTTACTGTATAGACAGTAACAACATCCACTATTCAAATGTGGTTCCAGATTCACTGAAGCACAAAAAAGGATGGACACAGAACCTCTAAAGTCTCAAAGCATTGTCCTTTTATGTCCAAATATAATTATTCACCCAGTTTCCAACTTCCCAGGCAGATTTTTTAAGAGTGATTAGCAATTGTATTTTAAAAGCTACTTGTCTTAAATGTTGGTCTGACCAAGATCGATGAGAGATTTACCATTTATTTCAATAAAACAAAGAAAGATTTTTTTTATCTAAAAAGACTAAACTCTAAGGGCACACCTAAGCAAAAGATACATAGATGTTACAGAGGAGTTTAGGCTTTTTTGAATTGCTCTCTCATTTGGGCAGGAAGTGCTGGATCTAAAATGAAGGAAGAGGAACTTGCACTGTCTCCTTTGAAAGCACACTGCAAATCGGTGAAAATCGGAGGATGCAGAAGAGAAACATGTAGTGCTCTACCTTTCAGTGCAATAACACATGTGGATTTTTGCAGTAAGTAGCAAAAATTCAGCCCTTGAAAAAAAAAAAAAAAAAACAGAAAAAAAAATCATGAGATTCTATTGAATTCAGGTACCAGATACATCTTTGTGTGCTTGATCTCAAATTTGGAGGCTGTTTTATTTTCTTCCTGGTAAAAATGGAATGAAGAGGGACTAATTAAAGATGAAAATCGACAGGATTTGCCAGCATTCTTTTAGTGCTACTGAACTGTATTTTTTTCAGGATATGCTGCTTTTTTTTTCCTATTTACGTTCTCCTGCTTGGAGGGGCAAGCATCTATCCTGATGCAGGTAGGTTTAGATGCACAACTGAGGGTAACTGCTCTTTTTTGAGGCTGGCAGGCCTGGGATGCAAGATGAAAAGCTTCGGTGAAAAAATGGTCATACCTGATCTGTGCCCTGGCCGAAGGCAGGCTCCAAACTGAATGGGCTCCACTAGAAATCACTAGCTAGGTCTGGATTTTCATAGTGCTTCAGTGTCAGAAGCCATAATTTGTGATGCACAAGATATGTGCAGACAGATTTATTTCCTATTTAAATACCTCAGTTTGAGAACTAGGTCCCAAATCTGGCTGGTGTCAGACGGCCCAAGGAGCTAAATCTGTTTTATTTTTTTCCCTTCCTCTCCTTAGCAGTTTTGCCCCCATATGTGCTTTTTTTTTTTTTCCATGTAGATTTGTTACTAGCTTTGATGAAAGAAAAGGCTCAGTGCCATTGAATAGGATTTAACAGGATCCTAGTATATCCTGCTTTTACCTTTCTCCAAGGAGGGAAAGTGTTCCTCATTTCCTCTCTCCCCCTCACAAACCCCATGCCCCTTTTGGGTCTCTTCCTCCTGCGTAAAGATCAGCCGGTTCAAAAGTGACAGGCGTGAGCAACCTGTGCCCAGAAAAAACTTCTGGCTGTAATTACCTTCCCAACCCTCCCTTTGCTCCTCCAAAGTGCAGCATTTCTTATCCAGGACACATTTGAAACTACCAAGTCCTGGAAATGCTAGTAAACACGAAACTTTCTCTCTCTTTCTCTCAACTTTCACTGCAGCTTTTTTTTTTTTTCCAGAGAGAAATCACAGCTATCACATGCGTGAATGTATTCTCTGTGCAGAGAAACCCCAACTGTGAGCATAATACAAATACAATACAACCCCTCCCTGTAAATGGTTTCCGCAATGCTGCTTTACCAAACAAGCTTCTAGTACAAATCATACACGTGGATTAAAGCCTGGGCAAGGGAAAAGGAGATCCTTCCTGTTCCTCCCCTCTCTTCTCATGGCATCCTCCTCGAGTTCCTGGTCCTTCTGAAAACAGAGTAATTTACACTGCTTCTGCCCCACCAGACCAGGCAATGCATGTGTACAGGTAAACTTTCACATACGTATAAATCTATATACATACATAAAGAAAATGCACACTGAACAGGTATGTATGAAAATAAAATCAAGCTTCTCCTGTTTTCTGCTCAAGTGCGATGGTGTCACGTTGTGAAATTGGACAAGGAAGCACAAACCCTCCTGGTGGAAAACTAGAGACACCTTTATTTTTTGTGTTCTTTTGCAGGTACTCAATTCAGATTGCGTTGTTCCTAAGCCTCAGCTGCAGTGTTGGTGGGCTTGGATCACTTTTGTGGAGGCTACATTTATGTATTTGAACAGAGGAAAACTGACAGTTCAGATTAAGCTAAATTCAGGCAAACATTCATTACCGGATAGCCACTCCTGCCCCAAGGTCACAGACTTGTTTCTCCTGCCCATGTCTGGGGTAAAATATCCTCAAAAGAGGGCAGAAAAACCTAGTGAGAACTAGCAGGGAGAACCTGCAGACACCTCTCAAGAGACGCTGCTGCTCCTTGTTTACCCAGAGCAGCCATGATGCAGAGTTGTTTCTTGCAGACTTGAGGTGGCTCTACAATAACCTGCAGACACTTTGGAGACCATCTTCCCTTTTGCCCAGCATCTCCTGTAGTTCTGGATCTGCTTCTCAAAGAAAGAGGAAATGCAGAAACAGATGCAGATAAAAACTTAAGGGGAAGTTAAGCAAGCAGAGAATGGATTTCTCTTGCTTGTCACTCTTTCTGCCTTCCCTTTCACAAGGGTCTCGACTTCACGTGTCACCATCCTAAAGCATGGACACTGCACCAGCTACATAACACTGAGGTGACCAGAGCTGCTGTTTCTGCCTAACTGAACTCTCATGTATTTGCGCATCTGGATACACAACTCTTAGTACTAACTACTTCACGGTGAGACCAGGCTCTGAAAAGTGAAAAATAAATCTGTATTTGTGTATGCATTCAAGAAACACAGTAAAATAGAATTCTTTCCCTGTTAATAGTTTCTTGGTACGTTTTTTTCCTGCAAATGTCAAATATTAACACAGGCGCACATACTCTCTGGAATGCTATGTTTGGATTTTCATAAAATAGATGAACCAGGAACCAAGAAAATTATGACTCCGATCATATTAAAAACACTGACTATAGATCTAACAAGTGCAGCATTAGTGTGAGTGTCATTTTGAGCAATCCAATCTTTGTCCTTTTGTATTGAAATCTGTGACCTCAGAATGCTCCTGAAAGAGCTTTGAGGGGAGACACTCAACTGCCAGAAGAAGTAAGGGAGGGGAGCCACACAAGTCAAGGGACACATTTCCACAGCTGGGGCAGGTGGACCTAACCAACTCCACATCCAGGCATTAGGGTCAAGCCCACTGACACAGCAAAGGGTAAGCAGGACAGAGTCAGAGGCATAATAAAGCTTGGAGTAGTTCCTCAGCTCCATGCCCCAGTTTCAGCATTCTCATTCCTGTGTCGTACGTAGCAACACAATCAGATGACTCACCTGAGAAAACAGTGGACCCCTCTTCTGCTCCCCTCCCTCAAGACACATCCCCATGTCTCTAAGGAGCACAAAGGGAGAAGGTGGATGGAGCAACGTGGTGGATGAGTGTGGAGTACGAGGAGTTGGGTAAGAAGGGAAATGGAAGTTTTCCAGAGATAAAGTGCAGGTAGCTACCCACAAAAATGAGGATAATAGACTTTCACCCCAAAAAAGCCTCTGTGAAGTAGAGGATTAGTTCCAAGGACCGCTCTAGCAGACCAGGCATTTTTTTTTGAAGACAGCATTGTAAAGCATCAGGTGAAAAGAAGATTTACACTACTATCTTGTTAAAGAAAGAGGACAATCCTCTTTCATTCAAGCTAGTTATTCCTCATCCATGTCCTGCAATATGGGAGGAGGGAAGAGCGATTTCTGTTTTGGCCATCCCAGTTTGAATTTATATAATAGCTGGTAAGATAATTCACATGTTTATTACTCGTCTTTGCAAACTAGAAACCCCTTGCTATTAAGACAGACTCGCATGGCAGCACTGTACACACTTCCATCTGTTGGTACTGGAGGCAGAAGTCAATGAATGAAAATAAAAGATATCCAGCAAGGGCCCAATAACATTTAATAGACTAAGTAGCC